AGAATGTGAGAGGAGAGAGAGAATGAGCGAGAATAAGAGAAAGAAAGTGTAAGAACCCTAAAAATTTCACTATATAAAGTATCTGATTAAGGCAAGATTACGTGCCTGATCTTATCCTCAATTATTTCCTCTAAACAGATTAAATTTATACTGATTAAAGGTAATTAGTTTAGCTTACGTAAGTTAATCTACTACTTACAGTCCAATATCAATTTCTGAATAATTCAATATTGTTTTATATTCTTACTCGCGTAATATTTCAAACTGTTTCAAGTCTTGAAATTAATTTTAGACTGAACAAATTCTAAATTTTAATTTTCTGTATTCTATCCCGAGAATGACGTTTCTGACAGTGTCAACTCCCAAGCTCATATTGTACCCATCTACTATAGGTATTTATCTTGCGACTTTAACCTAACTGTCTGGCAATTAAGGATTTTTTTTCTTCTTTTAAAATGTCAGTGCATTTTTTTATACGCTGCTAACATCGTGCTGTGCTTGGAGATTCTTGAAATTAAGATTCTCAAACTATACTTGTACTGAAAATTATTCCGCCTTAAAATACTGCGAGAATTTATCGATCGAATTTACTTGATCGAAACATGAACTTAACATGAGATTTACTATAGAATTTAGGAATACATATATTAATTCCATAAATCCTCCATTCACAATATAACATAATATTTTCTAAGAAAATCCTTGGCTTAAAAATACATGAATTGTATTATTTAAGGTCTGGAATTTTCTCAGTCATTACAAAGAGAAAATGTCGTCGCAAATAATCATTAATTCCCGCGCTTGGTATTGGTGAAATCTTGAAAAGATTATTTGCGACGACAAAGAGAAAATGTCGTCGCAAATAATTTCATATTATTTGCGACGACTTTGTCGTCGCAAATAAATGGAAAATGTCGTCTCAAATAATCATTTTTCCCGCGTTTAGTTTTTTGGTGAAATCTTGAAAAGATTATTTGCGACGACAAAGAGAAAATGTCGTCACAAATAATATGAAATTATTTGCGACGACTTTGTCGTCGCATGGAAAATGTCGTCGCAAATAATCATTTTTCCGCGTTTAGTTTTTTGGTGAAATCTTGAAAAGATTATTTGCGATGACAAAGAGAAAATATCGTCGCAAATAATATGAAATTATTTGCGACGACTTTGTCGTCGCAAATAAAGGGAAAATGTCGTCGCAAAAAATGGATTACCTTGGCGGCAAAATTCCGCGCCATTAAAATTTACGCCCAAAATTATTTGCGACGACATTTAAGTTATTAGCGACGACATTGAAGTTATTAGCGACGACATGGTTATTTTTTCAAACGGGGAGTAATTGCGATGACATGTCGTCGTAAATATTTTATTATTGGCGACGACAAATGTCGTCGTAAAAAATGTCGTCGCAAATGGCCTTTTTTGTTGTAGTGACTTCTTTGATTCTTAAAATAAGAGCTACTTCTTTTTATCTCTTTTTTTATTTTTTTATTAGAGGTGAAACAACAAATGATCAATTTGTCAGGATGCATGCTAATACTCCCTATTTTTATCAGTTTCAACTATTACCTTTGAACTAAAAGAATTTTTGGATGTGATTTTTTTTTTTTTACAATAATAGTATCTTTAGGTCTCGTTACTCGTTGATTCGAGTTTTCAATTTGAGTTGAAATGTGATTTTATGTGAGAGCTTTTCACTGTAACAGAAAAAATTAAATGTGACTTTTTATGAGAGCTTTTAACTGTAGCAAAAATTAAAATTAAAAACTCAAATCGGTGAAATGAACGAGCCCTTAATAACTCAATCTGTGGAGACTTCAAATCATAAGCTTTTATTACCAGTCCATCCTCAATATGTTTTCATAGTTCAATCAATGCATAGACTCGCACCTCTAGATCGTATTGATCATACCAAAAGAAAAGAACATTTTTGTGTATGCCAAACAAAAGCATGTTGTGCTTTTTAGATAAGCCCTTTGTTCTTTTTTTAACGTTCACAAATTTAAATACACAATTCCAATAATAGGTAGCAACTTAACACTAAATGTTGCAAGCTTCAGAATTAGCAATTAGGCATGCAATGCACAAAACAAAATAAAGACTCCTAAAACAATTTTTGTTTTTCTTTATAAAGATCGATCCGACAAAGCGATTATAAACTAAGAAAGAAAAATCCATCACAAGATTGCTAATATGGCAACTACTAATGGTACTTCCGTTTGGTAAAAGGATTCGAACCATGATTTGAATCATGGTTCATGGTCCGTTACAGTATTTTCTCTCACAAAAAATACATGTAAATCGAGAATGGTTCTGAATCCATGAACCAAACATAAATAATCGACTTTATTATTTAGTTGATCAACTGTGTCGTCTTCATAAAAACCTCTTGTTTATCAATAAAAATCTCTTTTCACTATTCTCCCACATCCGCCTTTTCGGACTTGAATTAGATGGAGTAGTTCATCATCAATCTCCATCCCTCTTACTCTCTGGAATAACTTCTTCAACTCTTCCTCCCTCAAAGATCACACTTATTTATTTCATTCAGTTGAAGACGACTCAGTTTAAATAATAAAATTGATCATCGCGAATTGGGTTAGTAGTTGTCATATTAACAATCTTGTGATGGATTTTTCTTTCTTAGTTTATGATGGCTTTATTGGGTCAATCTTTGTAAAGAAAAACAAAAATTTTCTTAGTAGACGTTTGGTTCGTGTATTCAAAATCATGATTTAAAATTATTTTTCTTTTACGTGTGTTTTTTGTGAGAAAAAATACTGTAAAAAACTATAAATCATGATTTAAAATAATGAATGAATACAAGAAACAAACAGGTTCTTTTCTTAGGAGTTTTTATTTTGCTTCGTGCATTGCATGCCTATTTAATGTTAAGTTGCTACCTATTTTGCTTTCAAGGTATTATTATCATGCATAATGAGAAAGGTAATCGTTGAATTTGGCACACTCTTACGAGACACGTCGATGGCTTGTGCCTCTGTATTTCTCCTCCCACTGACGATGACTTTGCTGCATCTGTCACATCTCCGGAAAAAGGGCAATCCACGGCGATCTTGCTTTTAATTTAGCTTTCTTTCAAATTTAACTATTGTGATTTTAAGAGTCCGTTTAGTTTGCTAATTTGAGTTGAAATGTGATTTTATATAAGAGTTTTTTACTGTAATAAAAAAATTAAATATGACTATTTTTTAGAATTTTTTACCGTAATAAAACTCAAATTTTAAACTCGAATCAGTTAAATAAACAGAACCTAAGTTTAATTTTAAAAATATTTTTTCTATTTCATAGATTAAATTGTCACTTACTTAATAATTGAGGAAGAAAATGAGTGGATCAATTTCATTAAATACGCTTTGAAGTATCTATCATAGTTTAAGATGCCTCTCAAATTATAAAAAAAAAAAAAAAAGGTTAATTTCACCTTTGAACTATGTAAAATAATTTAAAACGCCCCTCTGTTATAATACTAATCAAACGATCACATGATTCTTTTTATAATTTCATAAATATTCATGAACTATTAATTTTATGTCCATTTAATCTGAACAATTTACTTTGTGTCAATTTACTTCCTAATTTCTTTTTTTTTTTTTTTTAAATTTACGGAATTAATAATCTGATGGGCATTTATGAAATTAATAATTAAGAGATATTTTGAATGTTAAAGTATAATTCTGACCGTGAAATGATTCTTTTTATGACTTAAGTAGCATGTTGAATTACGTACATAGTTGAAAGAGTATTTATGAAATGAATCCTGAAATGAGTTAAAAAATCTTAAATAATACACTTATTTATTTATTATTTTTTTATGGAAAAGGATTCTCAGTAATATAGGTTCTATTTTTTTTGCTAATTTGAGTTTAAAATTTGAGTTTTATTATAGTAAAAAACTCTCAGAAACAGTCACATCTAACTTTTTTGCTACAGTTAAAAGCTCTTACACAATATCATATCTTAATTCAAATTAAAAACTCAAATTAACGAACTGAACGGACCCACAATCTTTACTACAAGCACTTCAAATGATACAAATAAGAATATTCTAGCAAAAACAAAAATATATTCGTTTTTGCTTCTTTTGGAAAAAGGGGATTTGCTATTCATACTCCAAATCCTACGACGTTTCTCTCACTCCCATTCCAAAGAGCACTTTCGGTTGGAAAAGTCATTTCCTTCCTCGGATAATTGGGAAAAAAAAAGTGAAAATTTACTACACCTCAATCCCCACAGGAGCATATTACTGTTCATTCATTCTCAATCCCAACCGTACTATAAAAATAGTTCTAAAATAAATTTGTTTTTTATGAAAATAAAAATAAAAATGAAAACGTTTTTAATCTCAAACATAAATTATTTTTAAAAATGTGTTTGATAGTTTTATTAAGAGATTATTTTTAGTATAAAAAATCCTATTAATGTCTCTCTCTCTGCTTGAGAGAGGAGAAAACAAAAACAAAAAATGAAAAACAACTAAAAGTCATTTTTCATTTCTCTCTCATTTTACACTAAATTAAAAAATCATTTTTATTTCTCTTTTTTGTCTTTATTGCGCCAAACGTCGTTTTAAAAACGTTTTCATTTTTTCTTTGTCAAAAAACGTGAAAAATAAAAACGAATCAATTCTAAACTCGACCGCCCTTTTTATCACTATTATATTTATTATTTAACATAACAATTTCATTAATATAATATATTATTATTTAAATAAAAAATTATATAATAAAATTTACGTATTAAATGATAAATATAAAAAATAATAAATTAAATAGTAAAATAAATGATGTTAATATTTTTTGTATAAAAAATATTTATCTATAAAATTTGTCTCACTAAATTAAATCTCCCCTACTCATCTATATAAACAGCGAATTCTATCTTTCCATTAGCAAATTAATGAGTGGAAAAAAAAAAGTTAAAAAAAAAAAAAAAAAAAAAAAACAACTAGAAAAAAGGAGGAGAGAGAGAGAGCATAATTTTACGCGTGTTACGCCAAAGAGTAAGAGAGAGAGTACAAAGCTCTGAAACTGACGTAGCGAATTTTTCTATATAACTCATCCACTTCACTTCTTTGGATCTCACACCTCTCTCTCTCTCTCTTCTTGCCCAGATTCAGGTACTCCATTATCCAATCTCATAATCCATTTCCATTACAAAAATCAGCTTTTTTTCGACGCTCTGTTTTTCGTATGAAGCTTTTGTTTTTGGCCTTTTGTTTTACGTAGCGTCCGTACACGTGGGGCTATACTTTGTCTGAAACAAAGGATCTATTTTTCTGGGTCGTGAATCTCGCGATCAGATTTTTGTGGGCGTTATTTATAATTACCAATTCTTTTTTTTTTTGTTTTGTTTTGTTTTGGTGCTGTTCAGAATTTGTTTGAGAAAAAATGGCGAATCGGAATCTGGAGAAGATGGCGTCGATTGATGCGCAGCTTCGGCTTCTGGTGCCGGGGAAAGTGAGTGAGGACGATAAGCTGATCGAGTACGACGCTTTGCTTTTGGATCGATTTCTCGATATTCTCCAGGATTTACACGGAGAAGATCTTAAGGAAACGGTCAGTCTCTCTCTCTCTCTCTCTCTCTCTCTCTCTCTCTCTCTCTCTCTCTCTCTCTCTCTCTCTCTCTCTCTCTCTCTCTCTCTCTCTCTCTCTCTCTAGTTCTTTTTGATTGTTTTTGGATTTGGATTCTGACGGTTTGAGGATTTTAAGGTTTGTTTGTTTGGATATCCCATCAGCCCAAATACTTTGAAATTGTTATGGGATTCGATTGAATTGCAGTATTGTTTTGATTGAAAAGTATGTGACTTAATACTGTTTGGATGATTTGACTTGGGCAGTTTTGTGGTGTGACTTGTGTGGTTGGTAATTTTGTTTGTTTTGTGAATAACCAAATCCCAGTTTTGATAGATTTTTTTTTTATTATTTCTAAATAAATAATTCGGCGATGCCTAAATCACTGTATTTTTTTTTTTAAAACCTCTTTTATTTTTTATGTAGAACTAATGAAATCCAATATATATTTACATATGTGTATTTGTGTGTGTATATGTGTGTGTTTGTGCATATGGCAGCTTGTTATTGGGTCTTCACTGTGTATGAAACTCTTTTTTTTTTTTTTTTTTTTTTAATGATTGAAAGTAGTGATCTTTCTCAGTTTGTTTTGGTTATGAATATAAGAGTAATATTTTTGGCCACATTGGAGAAATCAAATGCTAAATGGTAACTACACATTCAAGTATTTCTTTTCCTAAAGGAAAACTTTTAGCGTTTGGCCTTCAGGCTTCAACGAAGTAGTAAACAAGAGAATTGGTTTTTATGTTAATGGTTTTGGCAGTTAAGGAACAGTCATGTGTCATGTCATACGTGATTTCTGACGATCATTCTTTTACAGGTTCAAGAGTGCTACGAACTTTCTGCTGAGTACGAAGGAAAGCACGATCCGAAGAAACTTGAGGAGCTCGGAAATGTGTTGACCAGTTTGGATCCCGGGGATTCCATTGTTATTGCTAAGTCTTTCTCTCACATGCTTAACTTGGCCAACTTGGCTGAGGAAGTCCAGATTGCGTATCGCAGGCGGAACAAGCTAAAGAAGGGAGATTTTGCGGATGAGAATTCCGCAACAACTGAATCGGACATTGAAGAAACTCTCAAGAGGCTTGTAGGGGACCTGAAAAAGTCTCCTCAAGAGGTTTTTGATGCCTTGAAGAATCAGACTGTCGATCTGGTCTTGACCGCGCATCCTACACAGTCCGTCCGTAGATCTTTGCTTCAGAAGCATGGAAGGTCTGCACTTCACCTAATACAATCTTGTCTCTTGAGTTTCGTTGCTATTTTTTTTTTTAAAAGAATGATTTCTTAGCTCCATTGCTCTTTCCTTTTGATCCTACGTAATGTCAGGATTCGGAATTGTTTGGCCCAATTATATGCCAAAGACATTACTCCTGACGATAAGCAGGAGCTTGATGAGGCACTTCAAAGAGAGGTAATGTCAGCTTGCCTTGTATTTGTTTAGATGCTATCTGAATCTCGATGTTAGAAGTATGAGAAGAATATGTTTCTCCAGGGTGTGCATTATTAACTCTGGTCTTTGTTTGGCTACTACAATTCACATAGATTCAAGCTGCGTTTCGTACGGATGAGATTCGGAGGACAGCTCCAACCCCTCAAGATGAGATGAGGGCAGGAATGAGCTACTTCCATGAGACAATCTGGAAGGGCGTCCCAAAGTTCTTGCGTCGTGTGGACACAGCTTTGAAGAACATAGGGATCAATGAACGTGTTCCTTACAATGCTCCACTTATTCAATTCTCTTCCTGGATGGGTGGTGATCGTGATGGTATGGTCCTTTTGTCGGTTGAAGCTTACTAGTCTAAATTAAGCTATTAGTTTGTGAGGAGATTTATCTATAAAAAAAAAAAAAAAGGCAAACGAACCAGCTAAATAGATCTCCTCTGAGTCTTGCAATTTGTCGATTATCTCAAACTTTTGAGTACAACTCATTTTCTTATCCCTGAAAGAGAGCTCTCTCATTCTCTTTCTCTAATTTATTGACTTTGCTCAATGTTTCTTTCGTTTGCAATGCAGGTAATCCGAGGGTAACTCCTGAGGTCACAAGGGATGTTTGCTTGTTGGCTAGAATGATGGCAGCTAACTTGTACTATTCCCAAATTGAGGACCTTATGTTTGAGGTACTTAATGCTTGATAAATGCATCTTGGGTGTTTTACGGATGAACTTCATTTCATTCACTGAGTGATGTAGCATGTTTCTTTTTTTACATTTTTCAATTGTCTTTTTTTTTTTTTTTTACATATTTGTGTAGTTGTCCATGTGGCGCTGCAATGATGAACTTCGTGTTCGGGCAGATTTGCTCCACTCTTCTTCTAAGAGAGATGCGAAACACTACATAGGTAATTATTGACTATTTCCTTTCTGAAAATGTTATTTGCACTGTTAAACCAATTCTTTTAAAACTTTATATCCGAGTTTTCTAGTATACTCAAGCAAATATAGCCTATTGCAAAAACATTGGGAGGATCAGAGAACATAAAAAAGAATGAGGATGTGCTCCTGTTTCTAAATAACTTTGAAGAAAAAAAAAAGATATCAATCTGCAATCTGTTAAATTTCTTTTAGTATTGCAATACTTATGCCATCTTGCTTTATGTAGAGTTTTGGAAACAAGTTCCTCCAAATGAACCCTACCGTGTGATTCTTGGTGATGTAAGGGATAAGCTTTATCAGACGCGTGAACGTTCTCGTCATTTGTTAGCAAATGGGCTTTCCGAAATTCCTGAGGATGCAACGTTTACCAATGTTGAGGAGGTACTTCAACGTTGATAGCTGTCTTGACAAGGCATCTTTTATTTTTCAATTTCACCTGTTTCTCACAGTAAAGGTGTTTATTGCTAATCTGTTTTTCTTCTAAATCCAGTATGGCACTAGGCAATTTATACTTTCATTTTATCACTTTGACTGGTGGTGGCATATCTTTTGACAAAGTCATAGGTTGCTGGATATGTTATATAGCTCAAGCACAAGATATACTTTTTTCTTTTCTTTGTTATTCCTAGTTGATCATCAATCATGATTTTCTTCTATTTTATTTTTAAGTAAATGGAGAGAGAGCATCAACCATAATTTTATCTCACCACGGTAAAGAATAAGTTAATCTAGTCACTTAATGAAAATGTAACTTGCTTTGTGATTAGTTTCATCTGTTTAACAGTTTCTAACGCTGAAGAATGTTTTCTTTCTTCTTTTTCTTTGGAATAATTTGTAGTTCTTGGAGCCTCTTGAACTCTGTTACAGATCACTCTGTGCTTGTGGTGACCGCGCTATTGCTGACGGGTCCCTTCTTGATTTTATGAGACAAGTCTCTACTTTTGGGCTTTCACTTGTGAGACTCGATATTAGGCAAGAGTCTGACCGTCATACTGATGTCATGGATGCCATTACCCAACATTTGGAAATTGGTTCATACCGAGAGTGGTCTGAAGAAAAGCGACAAGAATGGCTTTTATCTGAGCTCAGTGGCAGACGCCCTCTGTTTGGTCCTGATCTTCCAAAAACCGAAGAGATTGCTGATGTGTTGGATACATTCCACGTCTTAGCGGAACTTCCAGCAGACAACTTTGGAGCATATATCATCTCCATGGCAACTGCTCCTTCTGATGTGCTTGCAGTTGAGCTGCTCCAGAGGGAATGCCATGTGAAGAAACCATTGAGAGTCGTTCCCCTTTTTGAGAAACTTGCAGATCTTGAGGCTGCACCTGCTGCTCTCTCTCGGCTGTTCTCAGTTGATTGGTACAGAAACCGTATTAATGGAAAGCAAGAAGTCATGATTGGCTACTCAGATTCTGGTAAAGATGCAGGTCGTCTCTCTGCAGCCTGGCAGTTGTATAAAGCTCAAGAGGAGCTCATAAAGGTTGCAAAGGAATATGGTGTGAAGCTTACTATGTTCCATGGCCGTGGTGGGACCGTTGGAAGAGGAGGCGGGCCGACCCATCTTGCTATCTTGTCTCAACCTCCAGAAACGATTCATGGATCTCTCCGCGTTACCGTACAAGGTGAAGTCATTGAGCAGTCATTTGGAGAAGAGCACTTGTGTTTTAGAACGCTTCAGCGTTTCACGGCTGCTACTCTAGAGCATGGCATGCACCCCTTAGTTTCAGCAAAACCAGAATGGCGTGCACTTATGGATGAAATGGCAGTTGTCGCTACAGAGGAATACCGTTCCATTGTCTTTAATGAACCCCGATTCGTCGAATACTTCCGCCTGGTAAGCATTCAAGAAAAATCATTTGTCACATTTGTTCATATACACAGCTTGTTTTAGTAACCAATTATGCGCATCATTGTAGGCTACACCAGAGTTGGAGTATGGGCGGATGAACATTGGTAGTCGTCCATCAAAGCGGAAGCCTAGCGGGGGAATCGAATCACTTCGTGCAATCCCATGGATCTTTGCCTGGACGCAGACAAGGTTTCATCTTCCGGTGTGGCTGGGCTTTGGAGTAGCTTTCAAACATATTATTCAGAAGGACATTAGGAATCTCCATATGCTACAAGAGATGTACAACCAATGGCCTTTCTTCAGAGTGACCATTGATTTGGTCGAAATGGTGTTCGCCAAGGGAGATCCAGGTATAGCCGCTTTGTATGACAAGCTCCTTGTTTCTGAAGACCTATGGTCGTTTGGGGAGCGGTTGAGGAATAACTTCGAAGAAACCAAGAGACTTCTTCTACAGGTAAAATACCAACAGAAAATTATCTCACTCTGATTGTCTTGTATTGTTCTGCAAAACATTGTTACTGCTTTTATTGATCTAAACCATAAATAAAATAAAATAAAAATTAAAAAAAAAAAGAAGGTGAAATATTGTAGACAGTAGTCAACACATCAAATTACCAACAAAATCTTTGTCAAAGGCCTAGAGTTGCTATACTGAATTTAAGGCCATAAACCAAATGTCTACTAGACATTGTTCCGTTAATTGTATGGAAACTGATTTATTCTTTTGATACCGCATTGGTAGATTGCTGGACACAAGGATCTTCTTGAAGGTGACCCGCAATTGAAACAAAGACTGCGACTGCGTGATTCATACATCACAACACTTAATGTCTGCCAAGCTTACACATTGAAGAGGATCCGTGATCCGAACTACCATGTGACTGTGCGGCCACACATCTCCAGGGAGATTATGGAATCAAACACACCTGCTAATGAACTCGTGAAGCTGAACCCAACAAGTGAGTATGCTCCGGGTCTGGAGGACACTCTCATCTTGACAATGAAGGGTATTGCCGCTGGACTGCAGAACACTGGTTAGATCAGTTGTTCGTTTTTCCTTCCTTTTTTTCTCTTTTCTGCTTTGTTTTGTAGATTTAGTTTTTGCCCAATAATCCACAAATCAAATACACGGTTAAAATGTCTTTAATCATCTGCCTTAAGGTCAAATTTTGGGCGACCTTATCGAGCTGTATGATCGAGTGTTGTGCCCGAACACTACTGCGGCGATGGCTATAATTGTTGTCAAGGGAAACTTATGTATGATTTATCAATGGAACTGCTTATTATGCATTATGATTTGGTGTTTGTTGGCCATCAAAAGAGTGGTATGGTTACTACTTGAAAATAGGAGCCGACCTTTTTCGTATCTATAACTAACATTTGGAGGAAGAAAGTTGCTTAAAACCATAGAGAATCCAAAAAATGCATAATATGAGTTTTATGAGGTTCTATGAGTCTTACAAAATAGGGCACAATTACCCTTGAACTTGTCAAATAATTTGAAGTATTTTCTGTTGTTTCATTAGTCACTTGTAAAATAAATTTAGTCTCGCAGCTTAAACCATCAGGCTCTCTCCCAATTAATGGTAAACTTTAGTCTGTTGAAATAATGCTATATCCCAATTTGTTAGATTTAGATTCGAAGTAATATCTCATTGAAAAATGTTATTCAGTCCAAATTAGCTGCCTAATAGATACAAATTGGTGGAGACAACTCTCTCATTTCGGCGGCCGCACTGTAGAGTAGTATTACCGGTGTTTGACTTTTGTTTGGCAGCTAAAAGCATGCCATATTAATGGACTCCTAGATTTTGGCAAGCAAGTTTGGTATTCATAAATGAGAGTTATTTTTTGAAGAAAAAATTGGAAGTATTCCTTCAATTCAATATGCATTTTTTTAGCTTAAATCAATCAAATTGTCACGCGCGGACTTGACAAATTTGCATCTAACGGAAGCCACGCGGAACATATTTAACCAATTAAGTTTAGGATCGATTAGTGCTTAATGTTTGGTTCATGAATTCAGAATAATTTTCAGTTTACGTGTGTTTTTGTTGAAAGAAAATATTGTAGCGAGCCACGAACCATGGCACGGATTCTTGCTCCAAACGCACTTCAAATTTTATGAGAAAAGGCTAGTATAATTTTTAAAATTTAAATTTTTATGAAAGAAAATACTGTATGAATCAAAATAATGATGGTTTGAACCCTCTGAAAAAAAAAAAACTGCACTGTTTGGATCAATATTTATTTATTTATTTATTTATTTTACCACATCTAAAATTAGATAATAAGTTAAAAACTCATAGTTTGAAAAGGGCACACCTCTTCATTTTCGTGAGGATAAAATCCCTCTACTCGCATAAGATGGTCTCACAAGATGAATAAGTGGGATTATATGTGAATAATACAAATTTATTCTCATGGGAATGTATTCCATATTCTGTTCAATAATGATAAATAAAGAAAAGTGTTAGGGGACTTTTATTTTCTGTATTCGTCTCTGATTCTGAATCATGATTTATAGTTTTTTACAGTATTTTTCTCTCACAAAAAATACACATAAAATGAGAATGATTCTGAATTCATGAATCAAACGTTCTCTTAATAATTTTATCGGGTTATAACCCCATCCTCTTACCGGAGGTGGCTTATGGCTCCATCAGGACAAATACTATTATTCCGGCACATAGTGCAACAGACAAACTATAAAATGCCCAAAATACGTATTTTCTTCTTGTTTATTTCTTTTTCATGAGCCCTTTTAAATAGAGAAAACACAATTACAATTAAATTACAAAACTTAATAATCAACACAAATGGGTGTAAGATAACATAAAAGAGATAACGATGAAAAGCACTCATAAATCTAATCAAATCTAAAAAAATAAATAAAACTAACAAGCAATTACACATAATAAATAAATAATAAAGATAAAAATCAAAGCTCTAAAATGAGAGTGACTATAGTACTGTAAGCCATATATACGTACTGATAGGATATTTTTTTTTAAAAAACTGTCAGATTAAAAATTATAGTCTCAAATCGTGTTCTATGGAACAAAAATAGACACCACCACATTGAATAAGAACCTTTCCAAGTCTAATTAATAATAATAATTGCAAAAAAAAAAATGAAAAAATACTAAGGAAAAAACCTCTAGCTATCATCATTGTGGAGGAGCTGTTGCGATCGACGGCCGCCATCCACGCGGAAGGGTTCGCACTCTCTCTCCGGCGCAACTTGTAGGTGGCTCCCGATTGTCGTGAACGACTATTCTTATGATGTCTCTACGCCAGAGATATGATCTCCTTTTTTTTTTATTAAAATTTTTTTTGGGTTTTAATGAATTTGATATAGTGCATTCAGGATCATTTTTGAGTTTATGAAATGGCAAATTATAAGCGTTCAATTGTTTTCCAAACGACTTTAAATGTGCGTTATTGGTGTGGAAACGGGGCCTATGTTATTGTAGCATTTCCCAAATGTAATAAACATCTCACTCTAAAATATGGTCATAAATTTCACGGAAATTTCGGGTTTTTCAAGGTCTTGATTTTTTTTTTCCACCACAAAATCGGTTTCGGGATCATATTGGGAAAATATTGGCAACATCAGTAAATATCAATTAAGATATCGATATCAGTATGCATATAGTATAATTCGGACAAAATTAAATTTTAGAAAAATATATGAGAAATTTTGAGACGGAAAGTTTTGGAAATAGAAATATTTAGTCATTTAAAGTGTTTTTTCTGCATTTTCTTTTTCATATTATAGACATCAACAAACTTATACATGACATATTGATAACTATATTTAACGTTATTCAAAATTTATATCATGATTTAAGTCTCATAAAACTTTTTTTTAGTATTAAAAATTTAATATATATATAATTTTTTATGTAAACTTTATTTATTTATTTATATATCTTTTCAATGTTCATTCTGTCATAAAAGTAATAGAAACGTGATCTAATATAAATTTCCATAATTTTTGTATTCTTTTTCAATATTTCCATGTATATCAATATTTTTTCTGAAATTTCTGTTAAAGATTTTTAACAATTCCATATTTTTATTCTTGCTCTAAAACCTCTCACTCTTAACCCAGGAGAAAAAAAAAAAAAAAAAAAAAAGCCTCAACCCTAGAGCGCATCAGTGACCCTGGGCCCCCATCCCCAGTCGTCGACCCTCCGCGAGTGTTGGTGGCCGTTCCCTCAGTCTTTCTGCCGTCGCCGGCAAGGTAGCCAGCCAGCCGTCCTTCCGAGCCGGTTTCAAGCCACCTGTAAGCCAAGCTCCTTCTCCATTGTTGGCTTTCTGTCTCTAATTTTTTTTTTTTTTTTTTTTAAGTTGGGATTTCTGTGGCGGAAAAACCAAGTCTTTGAGGAGAATTGAGCGTTTCTGTTATAATCAGTTCATTTCCCTTTGCAAATCTCAAAATGGGTTGCTCTGGAATTTAAATTTTAGCTCATTGGTTAATAATGTTTTGTTATCATGTTGAGTTTCCCCATTTGAGTTTCCCTTAGCTTTGCAGAGGAATGAAATAATCTATATGGAATACTGTAACAAGCATTTTAGTACCACCATTTGGCAATTTGAACTAACAATTTAGCAATTTAGTAAAAAAAATATGTATTTTGTACCACTTTTTCTGTTTTTTATTAAAAAAAATAGCAATATGAACTAACAAAGAATATTGTATTTCTGAGTTCTTAGACTTGCAGTTAATCATGTTGAAAGTGAAAACTCCCAAGACAGGCAAGGCCAGGCGAGAGCTCGATAAGCGGGCTCCTAAGCTAGTGAGTTCCATAAATTTTTGCATTTTGAGCAAAATTAATCCCCAAAAATAAAAATAAAAATATTTCACTTTTACAATAACTTCTGGACTCGGACTTTTTGACGTAATTTTTCAGGTCGAGACGGGGAAGAAGACGCTGATACTTCATGGAACGAAGACTAGTGGCGTGTTGAACAGTGTATTGACGCAAATTTATCACATAACGAAGGAAAATGCTTTGAGATTCAGTCGAAAGAATGAGGATGTTAGGCCGTTTGAAAGCGGAGGTGAAGCTTCGCTTGAGTTCTTCTCTCTCAAAACTGATTGCAGTATGTTTGTAGTAAGTAAAAAGCTGAGCAGTATTATGTTTATCTTTCTAGTGCAAATTTTTTGTTCATTCATTTGTTTTGCGTGTGTTCTTGTGGTGTTATTGTGAGTTGGCTTTGTTGAATAGAGAATAATATATTGTCACAAAAGTGGAATTTTGTTTATTGCCATTTTATGCGCCTTTAGCATTTAGTTGTCACAAAACTTTATTTCTCTGCTTCGAGTATGTCGAGCCTAATTATTGATGCAGAATTTGGGTGTGTGGGTTTCGGACGTAGTTGTCTGATTAAGGTGCACGCCACTATAAAGCTTGTGTGTTATTGTTTGTTTATTTGTATTTTAAATTATTGATCTCTTTAGGAAAGGCTAGTGCTTTAATCTGCAACACCTTGGAATTCCCTGAATCGCCGGATTGAAAAAAGTGAACCACTCATGTTTAGTAGTTAGCTAGACGAAGTAAAAAATTTTATCAGTTTTTTTTTTTTTCTTTCTCACAGGAAATTGAGAGGCTGAAATGATCGTCAAATACTCTAAAACCTTCTTTCCTTGGCAGTTCTTGAATCCCCATTAATAATAAAAAAAAAAAAAAAGAAACAAACAAACAAACTGAACCCTTCCTCATGTTTAGTAGATAGCTAGTCGGGATGAAAAATTATTAGCACTTTTTCTTTATTAGTGACGTCCTTATACTTTGAACATCCCCGTTTATTTTTTCTATTTCCTTGTTTTGCAGTATGGTTCCCACTCAAAGAAGCGACCTGACAATCTTGTTATTGGTAGAACTTATGACCACCACATATATGACCTTGTAGAGGTTGGGGTTGAAAATTTTAAACCCTTGGAATCATTTTCGTATGATAAGAAACTAGCTCCAAAGGCAGGCTCGAAACCTTTTATTGCTTTTATTGGAGAAGGGTTTGATAGCGTTGAAGAGTTGAAACATTTGAAGGAAGTTTTACTTGACCTGTTCCGAGGAGAGGTAACATTTTCTTTTCCTCAAGTCATTTACTGTTTTTCTTTTAGTTTGGGGGATGTTGCTTATTCAATTATGTGCAGGTTGTAGAAAATTTAAATCTTGCTGGAGTGGACCGTGCATATGTATGTACGGCTGTGTCTCTGAATAGGGTGTTTTTTACGCACTGTGCGTTACAACTTAAAAGATCTGGCACAATAGTACCAAGGATGGAACTGGTTGAAGTTGGCCCATCCATGGATTTTGTAGTTCGTCGACATCGTCTACCTAATGAAGGCCTAAGAAGAGAAGCCATGAAAACAACCAGAGATAAGCCCAAGAAGAAGGTTTGATAACTTGATTATCTCGTTTCATATTGTCTCGTAAGCGTAGCAAAGCAACACATCTGTAAAATGATTGTTGTTTGTTCATGGCAGGAGAAAAACGTTAGCAAGGATGTGATAGAGGGCAAAATTGGAAAAGTATACATTCCAGATCAGAAGGTAAAAGAGGGTGTCAGATTCATTCAATTTCATCTACTAATGTAGCAACAAAGTTATTTTCAACCATTTGTTCTTGGTACACCAGAGAAGAATGGCTAGTTTAAATTCCATCCATATGTGTTGATGTTTATTCCCTTTTTCCCCCCTGTTTGGGCATTTAGGTTGGAGAGATGGCTTTACCTAACAAAGCAAAGGGAGTGAAGAGGGAGCGCCGTGAAGCTAAATTGAGACATGGTGACGGCAACGAGTATGCATCAAAAAAGCAAAAGGAAGATTCTGAGTAATTCCTTTCGATTCTATTGGTTTATAGAACTTAACTTGGATAAAGGCTACAAGGGGATGAAATGTATCAATTTTGTGTTAAATTATGTCCAAATAGAAATATTCACTTTACCCAATTGAGTTCTCCAGTAATTAATTTGTTTGCGATATCACCCTTTTACAAAGGTGTTACAGTGGAGAGTGAAAATGGCACTACAGATCATGAATGCTTGCAAGGAATATGGCTAGGCACAATGTTTTGTTTAGTGCATCCAATTTACGAGCATTCTAGAGATTGATAGCATCCCAACTGTTATGGTTGTGGTAAGGCAAATGAGACATTAGATTCATTTTCCTAAAAGTAATGTAAATAGTCTACCAAGATGTACAAAAACATCGGTCTACACCACCGAAAAAAATGTTCTCCAATTTATTTCCCATTTTGTCCTTTATCTTTTGAATTATTCTCACTTTGTTTAACAAGTAAATTGTCTAATCCAGCCGGCCGTATAGTTTCAGGTTTGAGTCCGGAGCAAATCATTATATAGCTAATTTTACGGATGGTAATGGAGGGGGGGGGGGGGGGGGGAGGATTAACTCCCATCTCCATCCCCGCTTCCTCTAAACAATTCTCATTTCTGTCTTTATCTCCGCATAAAGAGGAGTGGGTTTGGAGTCGGAAATTCTCTATTGAGAGAGCTTTCGTTATAATTGTCTCATTTCTCGTTATATAGGATTGTATTTTAAAATTAAAGTAACTTAATCTCATCAAATGTATACCTTTATTTTAGATTTAATAGTCAAATTTATAGCTTTCTACAGTCAACCCTCAATTTTGACCTTTAAAGTTCCTAAAATGTCCTTGAATAGAAAATAGAAAAAGAAAAAAGCTAATGAAAAAAACTTAATTATGGTATTAGTCTAAAAAGTTTACAAAATACCATTAAAATGTGTTTTTTGTATTTTTAATTTTTAACTTTTTATACTATTAGAAAGTTTTAGTTTTATTTTCTCTCTTTTTCTCAAGGATACTTAGTCATTTTAAAAGTCAAAATCAATTATTGACCGAGATAAGATATAGATTTGTATACTAAATCTAATATGAAAATATACATTTGATGTGATAAAAAGTTGAAGGTATAGATTTTGAATAAACCCAAAACATAAGATATTAAAATATAAATATCCCTTAAAAATGCAGTTACCCCTTTTTTCAAGTAAAAGTAATTTTAAGAGATTATGTGTATGTTTATCTACACAACTAAGTCATGACTTGAGTTGTGTATGTGAGAGAAAAATACTGTAGTAAAAAAATTGAATTTAAATTTTTATGAAAGAAAGTACTGTCGCAATATAATTTGAGTCATGAAATGAACAATGCTTCTTTGTATCTATATATATGTATATATATATATACATAAAAAAAACACATTAATATTGAGGCGGAGGTGGGGTGGGGAGTACTTCCTCCGTCCCCTCCCCCCATCACGAATTGGGAACTAGATTTTGTCCTCATATCTATCCCCATCCCTAATAATTGTCTTCCATCCCCGCTCTATTCAGGGTGAGGCCCCTTTTCCGTGAAAATTATTATCATCTCTAGCTAATTTATTGAAATCATCTTTAATTTTGTCCTTTTTTTTTTCAATACTCTCTAAAACAGTTCGAAAGAAAAAAAAAATACTCTCAAATATTATTTTTAGATAAAATTATAAGAAAGAGCTATTGTTTTTCACCCTCTTATTAATTATGTCATTAAAAAAATATTCTGATAGAATATAGAATAAAAATACACCGTGAAAAAAAAATTATTCAAATAGAATATAAAAGATATCTTATCAGAATATTAATAGTATAAATGAAAATTTTAAAATTGAGACAGAAATAAAATAATATTATCTTTTTTAATGACATTAATGAAAATTTCTCTCTTTTTTTAATATGCACCCAATAAATATTTACCATCTAATTTGTCCCATCAGAAACTTCTTCTCCTTTTAAATCTGTTCTGGTTAATATTCTTTTTACTAAATTAAACTCTTAACAGAATAATAAAAGAGGATTTGCTCAAAAATAAAAAAAAAATAAAAGGAAAAAAACTTAAAAAACTTTTAAATAAATTTAGATCTTCTTATAAAAAAAACAACAAAAGAAAACAAACTGAATTTCCAAAGTTAGTAATAATACTTAGAAGTGCTACAAATAATACTGTTTTTGCTTCATAAGGAAGGAAAGGATCATTTTCTAGTCCTACACCAGACCGTCGTTTCTCTCTTTCTTTCTTTCTTCTCCTCTGTTTCAAGCACACCAATACAGAAGCTACAGATTCTAGCTTCACCATGGCTATGTCGACAAGGAAGAGACGCCCTCAGCCGTCCGATCCATCGTCATCATCGTCGTCGTCGTACACGAAACTCGATAAACCAGGGAAATCAGAGTCCGATGAAGAAGGAAACAAGGGGTTGAGTTGGATTTTGCCATTTTTGGCATTGGGAATCTTGAGGCATATGAGCGCAATGTCAAACATCATTCACGACTGTGATGAGGTCTTCAACTATTGGGAGCCTCTCCATTATCTTCTCTACAAATTCGGCTTCCAAACTTGGGAATACAGGTAACCCACTTTATTTTTTTTTCCTTCTATTTGATCTCATTTTCATTTCCTATATGAAGATTGTTCTTTTTCCTGGAGTTTTTCTATCTGGGTTTTTATTGAATTTAATTTGCAGTGGGGTTTTGCTTTTTTTTTTTTTTTTTTTTTTTTTTTTTTTTTCAAAAATTGAGGATGGAGAATTTAGGAAAGAGGAAGAAAAAGTGACATTTTTTGTGGGTTGTGTTTGGTTGATGGAAAAAGAGATAAAAAAGTTGGGAAATTTGGGTTTGGGCTATCTTGTTTTTATCTTTAGGTCTTGGCCTTGGTAATGTGAACAAAGGTCTAAGCTTAGTAAAACAAAATGCATTTTTTCTCCAGCAAAAGAAAAAAAGACCGAAAATGCGAGGAGGATATTAGATTTTTGACCCCTTTGGTTCATAGTTTTAAACAGAAAGTTTGAATAGAAATTCGAAAAACAGTACGGTAGTTCAAACCCGCCAAACAACGGGCTATTTGACTTGACAAACAACGATAAGAGTAAGTTTCTGTGTATTTCAAGACCTGATAGTCTGATAGATAGTGAAATTTAATTTGCAAAGATGCTTGTATTTTTGTCTACATTGTGTTTTTAATTTCCAGTCCTCTCAGGCATAGAGTGAGAAAAGAAAGTAAAGCTTTTCGCTAAATATTCGAAACTTCAGTTGATGACTGTAATGTTAAAATGTGAGCCATAAGCAATCAACTCAAGGCTTGGTGATGAAGCGAGTGTAACAAAGCTATTGTGAATGTAATTTTATAACTTAGTTGTTAAGTAAACTGTCATCATTGTGGGCAAGGATGGGGATCAGAGGGTTGGTGATGAAGTGAGTGTAACAAAGCTACTGTGCATGTAATTTAACTTAGTTGTTAAGTAAAATGTCATCATTATGGGCGAGGACGGGGATCGGAGGGTTGTCATTCCACCAGTGCAAAAAGTTGCCTTTTAGAAAACCACTATGCCCTACTTATATTATTGGCAATTCTTCATGCAATGTCCTGCTCTGGTTTATCCTCTTTTGGTCCTTGTACAATATTTCATCTCACTCTCTTGTTCTTAACCATCTCGCATTCTTTCTCAATGCCAATTAAGAAATCTGGAAAACAAGTCGAAACTGATAGTAAAATAGAGCAAAGGTGTTACAGAAGTAGCTGATTTGCAATCATTGATGTAAGATTTCGAACTCAAGTTAGCATTTTAGATGAAATCAGATGCTCAAGTTCGACCAGTATTGTTGCAAACTTCACTGTGTCGTTGACCTCCTTTCTTTTTTTGGAGGAGTCATGCATTTATTAGGATATTATTCTATAGGTTAGACAACTTTTGGAATATGCAACTTAGAGGATTTCAGATTTGGTGAGGTTGGAATCTATCTTATATATGACACTCCTCTTCTTTTCCTCTTTTATCTATCCATCTCTTTTTCCCTATCATTCTTTAAAATAGTTTCTAAAGTTTGAGCTACTTAGAAAAATTCATATTTAGATAAATATACTGGTGAAACATTAATTGCTATTGTATGCCTTTTTTCCAGTTCCCAGTTTGCACTTAGGTCGTATTTGTATATTCTCTTCCATGAGTTGGTGGGTCGACCTGCCTCGTGGCTGTTTGGTGAGGAAAAAGTAAGAATCTTTTATGCCTTCAGAACTGTTTTTATAATTATTTACGGTCATTTATTTATTTATCTTCATATTGTCCTTGAACAATTTTTTTTTTTTTTTTTTTTTTTTTCAGGTGAGAGTATTTTATGCTGTAAGACTGTTTCTTGGTCTGCTCTCTGTTATCACGGAAACTGTTCTTGTTGTAGCTCTTTCAAGGAAATACGGAAAGCGTCTTGCTTCTTACACACTTGCGATGTTGTGCTTAACCAGTGGTTGTTTTTTTGCTAGCACTAGTGAGTTATCCCTTTCGGTTTTTCTGATTTCAAAAGTTCCGTTAAGAGTTTTTTTTTTTGCATCACAGTATCATGCTTCTTTGTGGTCCATGTTTTGTTTTTGCTCTTAAGATGCGTTTTCTTGATTTATAAGGTGGCAGAGCAAACATGTCTAATTGTCTCTTGGAGGTATCTTATTCAATGTCTTGATAATGTTCGCCAGGTTTCTTGCCAAGTTCATTCTCTATGTATGCCATGTCTCTATCATCGGGTCTATTTCTTCTTGAGAAACCTGCTATGGCAGTGGCAGTTGCCGCAGTTGGTGTTATTCTTGGCTGGCCATTCTCAATCTTGGCTTTTCTGCCAGTGACATTCTTCTCTTTAGCCAGAAAATTCAAACAAGTGTTTGTTGCCGGTGCTGTCACCTCTGTTGCCCTTCTTGTAAGTATAATTACTTCATTTTTGTTGCTTTTATGGACCTACATCGTTATGAAATTTGGATAAACGAAGCCATTATGTCCCATGTTACTCATTTCGATAAATTTTTGGAATCTTTCTAGGCATTATCGCTTCTTGTGGACTACTCCTACTACGGAAAATGGACATCGTCCGTGTTAAATTTGTTGCTCTATAATGTTGCTGGAGGTGGCGAGAGCCATTTATATGGAACTGAAGGGCCACTTTATTATTTGAGGAATGGGTTTAACAATTTCAACTTCTGTTTTGTACTTGCATTGCTCTTTCTCGTAATATTGCCAATTGTGAGGAAAAAGTATGCCCCAGACCTGCTAATTGTGGTTTCTCCTATATATCTCTGGTTGACATTTATGTCGTTGCAGCCACACAAAGAAGAAAGGTTAGACTTAATCTGACAATTCCATTGAGAATTATACTATATTTTCAGATTGTAACACTTATCCGTTCACATTTGTATTCCTAGCAACCACCCATGTTATTTTCCTAGTAACCACCTAATGTTGACGAAGGATTATGTCTCTTACCTCAC